TTTAGGATTTGGTAGGTTCAAGCTTTCTATCTGACTTTCCCATCATAAAATAAATGATTGCCTCTGATCTGATGTGCCAGGTGAAAATGGGTAGAATTAAAACTGTCAATTCTACTTCCGACTTGTGTCTTTCGATTGAGTTCAAAAGCTTTTAAAGGTAAAACATGCTGATCATTTATATGTATTATTGCTTTTTCTTGTATCATAGCTTTTAAGGGAAAAGAAAGGGAAAGTATTTATATATCCAAATTCATTTTCCCTGGAAGATTTCAATCTTCCAAGTAATCTGATGATGGACCCTGACACGTGTGAGAATGTCTGCCCAACGCAGCCCGGCTTACACGAGTGTGGCCAAGTCCGGTTTTTCCGTTTTCTATTTAAATGGTTTATTTGGAGCTGAAATGTGGATATTTAAACCTGAAGCTTACCAAGTGCTACAATACTATTTTAGAGAAAAGGTTGGAGTAGGCAGAGTTGAGAAGAAAGGAGGAAGGCTCCCTTTGAAAGTTACAAATGGTGAAAAAGACATGTAATCCGATGTGGAAAATTGAGTAAAAGAGGCAGCACACACTCTAGCTTAGGCAAAGATTGCTGAATCCTTTGAAGAAACTGACACGGATTTTCCAGAGATGGGAGGAAAGAGAGAGATGGGTTGGAGGTGGGGAAATCCTAGGGTGGGCATTTTATGTAAATGAGTAAATTCGAAATGTAATACAAATCCAGTATAGTAAAACTGACAGTTCTGACAGTATTGACAACATAAATATATGTTTGAACACTGCACTTTCAGACACTTAACCGATGAAGCAATAAAAAAATTCGACTACAATATTTCAAATAATCGACATTGATGTTTTGATACATCATTTTTATACTCCAAATCGATCTATCACTCTGGGACTGGTCAATTTTAAGTAAAAATGGGCTGCAATTATTTGCACCTTGGCTAATGATGACCTAATAACAATCCTCAATGAATTACACCCGAACTGTGCTTTCTTCCTTCAGCATGGGGTAGCGGGTGCAATTCTTGAGGAGCAGAACCGAAGATTGTGTCATCCTCTGCCCTTCTTTATATTCTAGGATTTCAGAATTAGGAAAGGTCTTTGTTTGGTGATCACAGACACTGCAGGCTGAAGTGTCCTCACTTCAAGTAGCCACTGACTGGCTCTGTATTGAGGATATGATCCTCACTTTTACTTTTCAAGGTCAAAACTAAATTTTAAAATTTACAAACATAAAGTTGCATGAGTCTAACCCTTCCCCAGGCCCAATATCTTTTCCTCTGTTTCAAGGACTAGATGGAAGAGATTTGCTCAAAGGGAAGATTGGAGAGTTCTCTAAGGCTCAGCGTGTGGGGGGGGGGGCGGTGGGGAGGGGGGGGCTTTTAAGAGTATATCTAAAGCCGGAGTTGAATTTCTCCTTCATCCCATTCCCTCTGGATGCTCCCCACATACCCTTGAAGGTTTACGGGCAAATGGTCTTTCGTTGTTGTTGTTTTGTTTGTTTTGAGACACAAATAAGAAAGAATTCAAATCTCTGCAAGAAAGAAGGGCGGATGCTTGTGAGTACTGCATCCTCACGCGTGCGTTCCGCAGTCCCTGACTCTTGGCTTTCTTCTCTTGGCCCTGTGGGGTTTCCAATGAGCTTTCCTACTCCCACTTTTCCCCGCTCCTCTCCCAATTCGAGGTGGTAATGGTGGTTGGCGGAGAGGCGGGGGGTAAAGCCAGTTCATTTACAAACAGAAAAAGAAATCCTGGACAGGCCCGGGATACAAACTCAGCAGTCCATTGTGATGTGCGGATCCGGCTGGCAGGACCCGCCGGAGGTGCGGAGGCTAGCGCCCCTACTCCGGCTTTCTCCCCAAGGCCGGGCACAGCGCAGTACTGTTCCCATTCCCGTGACTCCCCGACCCTCCTCAAACTCGCGCTGAGACTCGGCCTCCTGACTTAAAAACTTAGCTGGGCTCCACTAGCCGACATTCCAGCGTCTGATTTCTTTTCTCCCAACTTCACAAATATAGTTTTAAGCCCCTCCAAACCGCCGCCAGCTGAGACGCTGAGACTTAAGCAACACTTTCAGCAACATTAAGAGGCTAATCAAAGGCAAAGGATGTGTGTGACCCACGCTGAATGAAGGGGGGAGCCCTAGAAGAGCTCAGCTCCGTCGCCTGAGCATCACCTAGTTCCGCGGCTATCAGTCTCTGACCAGGTCGTTCCAGGCCATCGGTGCTGGAGGTGCGGGAGGAAGCTAGAGAAGGGGCGATAGGAGGAGAGAAAAGGGGCCGGGATCAAGATAGCGGAAGAGACAAGAGAAAAAGGAGAAAGAAAGAGATGAAGGAAAGGAGAGAGGAAGATAGAGCGTAAAGGAGCCAGAGACTTCGAGAGCTAGCGCACATCGCGTTTGGAGCCCCGCCAGATAGCGCTAGAGGGCTATTTATTGAAATACTTGCCTTCTGCGAGATGATGAAGCAGCTAAATTGAAGAAATAAGAAATAAGAGAGTAAAGGGAAAGAACATACAATGATTTCATTCTTATTTTAAAAAGATAAATTGTGGGATGCTCTATTATTATTAACTATGAGTGAGGAATATGTGGTAAAAAGCCTAAGTGGGGAAAAGACCAAAAAACTAAAAACAAATAAACAAAGGTCCTCTTCCCTCTGTTGATCAAAACTAGGAAAAGAGTGAGCAAAGTTAGCAGGTAAGTAAGCAAGTGGAATTCTTCCTAGTCCAACTTTCTGAGCTGCTGGTTACTTTGCCGGGAAGGTCAAAAACAGTTCACAAGGATGAGCTGAGGTTTATAGAGAAGAGATGTTTTTAAAGTAATAGATGGCTGCAAGGCAGTGGGGAGGGAGAGTCAAACACGTTATTGGAAACGCCAAATAAAATATATATCAAAAATTCCAACTGTCAGCCAGCAGGTCTGGAGCAGAAGAGAGCCCCTCTGCCTTTGTCCCAGAGATGCTGGGCTTAGGGCTGTTTCTGCAGGGCTGCAATCAAACTCCTTGAATAACAATTTATAAATACTCTGGGAAGCTTGGAGAAAAGAGCTAGACTACAAAAATTCACTGTTGCACTTAGAACCCAAAAGGCAGTGAAGCAAATGAAGAGAGAACATCTAGTGATAAAGGTGAAGAGAGAGAGAGAGAGGGAGGGAGGGAGAGAGAGAGAGAGAGAGAGAGAGAGAGAGAGAGAGAGAGAGAGAGAGAGAGAATATTTTGACCCTTCTTACTTGCTCAAGTCAGTAATGCAAGAAAGAAAACTTTCAAGTAATTCTTTAAAGTATTGATTTGGTTTTATTCTCAAACTCCTGGCATCTCACACAGCTAGCTTCTCATTTTAAATTGCACTTTCCTTTTATCTGAAATATTTTTTCAAATCAAAGTAATAATTAATATCTTTCTTCCAAACCGCAAACAGAAACTCCACAAATAAAATTAATCACAGAGTCCCCTAAAAAATCTGCTTAATCTAAATTACTTCAATTCAAAACATTAACTAAAGTTACGAATAAGATTAAGGTTGGATTTATTTGCTCCTCTAGCAAGGCATCAATTGTTCTAACTGTTTTAAGACGATAAAAAAGATTTAAACCCAGCGATTTTAATACATAGATAAACACTTCGGCTCTTACAGTTCTGAGGAATTGGGAGTTATCTCTGCTGAAGACCTATACTTTCTGGTGGTGGGGGGGAACAGGTGAAGAGAAGCAGGTACATAGGCTTCTTAAGGAAGGTGGGCAAATTCATCTAAAACAGAGTCTAGGTTCACAATGTTCATTTCAAATTAAATACTGATAAAGCCAATGCCCTTTAAATTAAGTAACTATAGCAAGATTCAATTATTCTTTTAAAATCTTGAATGTTACTTATAATACCATTCTACATTGATACAAAAAAGAAAAGGAAAAATAGAAAAGAAGCAGTTCTCAGAAGTCTTGGAGATGCTTCAGTAAGAAAGAGGTGATTAAAAACAGACTTAAATCTGAGAGGCTGGATTCCTCCTCCTATTCACCCCCACCCAATCAGGTCCCCTCCCTTTCACCTCTTTTTTTTTTTTTTTTTTTTTTTTTTTTTTTTTTTTTTTTTTTTTTTTTTTTTTTAATGCAGTGCCCCCGCCCCCACTCCAGAGCTAAGTAGCCAATTTGAGATTCTGAAGAAATAGGTTTCAGCATCCATATTTGTTCTGGGGCACTTGTAAAATGCGATCTGTAGAGGGTCTTTAGCCTTCTGATTGTCTTTGAATTGTTTTTACTGAAACAGATCTTTTGCAGTTAATGAGTCCCCACGCAGCTGGACAGCTCCTCTCGGACACTGAGAACTCTAACCCCAAAATGACCCCAATTTGACACCGCAAGATGAAATTTTACCGCCTGTTAAAACCATTTTCAGCCTGGGCAAAAGGAGCTGACTGTTGACGGAGGTGTGTACCACCTCTTGCGAACCCCATCTTGTGCCTGTCTCTGGAGCCTGCCCCACCTACTTTCTTTCACCCCAAATGTTGGAGAACAAATGAGCATCACAGCGTGGGTGAGGGTGCCGAGGCTGAAAAGGGAGCATCAGCAATGTACTATCAGGATAGAAATCAGAAAGTGTGCGTACTCCACAACTTTATAACTGGCTTCTATTGGACTACAAAATTGAGGGTGGAGGGAGACCAGGAAGTTCTTAAATGTTTTCAGCTCTATTAATAAAACATCAGCAAGTTGGTTATTATAAGTAATAGGCCTTTGAAATCACCAGATTGACCAAGAACTGACACTCTGAATTATCTCTAACTTGGTCTTGTGTATAATCCACTGCAGTGCCATGCTATTTTAAACTAAGTTTCATAAATGACATGCAACTAGGTAAATGAAATCTCTTTAAATCACATGAAATTCAGGGTTCTTCTCCCTGTAGGCAATTGGTGAATTTTTAAATGCCACAGATTTTCCTCCAGTAGGGTGTTACTTTTAACACCCTCACACTTAACCGAAGTCTTTAGACTTAAAGACGATTGGCTTTTTTGTTTGTTTGTTTCTTTAATAGTATCTTAAAATGTCCTATCTTTCCTCAAACCAGATTGTCCTTGTTGTTTGCTTTACTATATTCAATAAAATGGAAAAGAAGTTACAGAATATGAGAGAAAAAGAGAAAGAGAGGGAGAAGGAGTTCAGGTTAAAATGCCTTCTGCATCGCCCAAAGAATGAAAACACATGAGAGTAGATTTTAAACATTTTTTCTTTTGTAAAACCCAAAATTATCACGGAGTGATCAACCTATTATTAGCTTAATAACTGTTTGAAAATATAGAAATCATCTATCGGTCTGAATTGTTTTTACACGGATGCACTGCTTCGGAAGAAATAGTCTTTAAAAAAAACACTAGTGCAATTTTTCGAAATAGAAGCTGTAGAGATGCTAACTCCACAGTATCACTATGAAAAAAAGAAGCGGTGGTAAAAGAAGCAGGCGATAGTAATGTCGAACCTTTAAACTCTGTGATGCAGAGGTTCGGTTAAAAGTTGATCTTTACAGAAGGAGCGTTTATCAAGGAAACGGGGTTTCTTTTTAAAAAGAGAAGTAATTAGCTCTTACTATACAGGACATTTAAAACAATAATCCCATTGGCAACAATAAACACGCAATATTGAGAAAAGCAACAATTAGAAAAATAAAAACTGAAAAACTGAGTATAAATTTCTCAGCTAGCGGCGCTGCACGGGGAACTTGGGTCCACCAATATCAAGACCTCTGCAAAGTCGAAAACGCTCCACAGCAAGACCCGATTGGTCCCCCACCCGACCCCGCTCCCATCCTTTACGCCGGCTAAACTGAATTCACTTAACTGCCGCTTGAAATAAAATTCTGGAAGCTCTTCCTTTCTTTGTTACTCACCTTAAAATATATATATATTTATATACACACGCACACACATATATGTATGTACACACACACACACATATACACACACATATATGTCGACCAGCAACCCAGCAACAAATAAGAAGGATGCTTTTAATCTTGGAGTTCTTCTAGGGAAAAAAAAAAAAAATGAGGAGGAGGGAGAAGGACACTTCTCCTCAACCTGCAGGTTTCATACCCGTCGGCTCTTGCAGGCTTCAAGCCGGCTCTAAGAGTGGCTGAAAACCTGGGCTAGATTTTTCTCCCTGAAGCTCCGCGCGCCCGACTGTCCCTGCTCGGGCCACCCTGGCAAATACTTCGCAGTCCGCAGCCCTGCTCCCTGGCATCGCAGTACCCTCGCTTCTGCCAGGCCCTCCGCACTATCTTTATATGTGAGAGCCGATTTCCCGCAGACATCATTGTTATGATGGCTCATTTAATCAAACTGTTTAATTGCTCTGGTAATCACTATCATCATCACAGGTGTTCAATCATTCATCATTTTTGGAGGGCTTTATTGACCTCCGGAGCTCATCTCCCAGCCCTATTAAAACGGAGCCAAATTTCTCCAACTCCACTTGGAGTCTCTGCAGGCTGCGATCTAAGCCTAGTTGAGTGTAGCCTGAAAGAAGCTTACAGTGAAGTTGAGAAGACGGAAAGAGAGCTTTCCGCAAAAGCCCCCCCATCCGCCCTTCTTTCATTCATATTCTCTCTCTCTCTCTCTCTCTCTCTCTCTCTCTCTCTCTCTCTCTCTCACACACACACACACACACACACACACACACACACACACACACAGAGTACTTTATTTCGCTGTGTCCCCATCCCCTGGGAAGTCGGGCCGAAACCACGCGCGGAGTATATTCTACTTTCTACCCTCCAGAATGGGTTCAAAGTTGGAGAGGGAGGCGGCTGTTGAAGAACAGTCTGTTTTCGATCTCTGGGCAGGGGACCATAAACGCAGTAGAGAGCGAGGAGTTGGAAGAGGGCTCACTCCGAATGCAGGGCCGGGCTGCTGGACTGCCGGGAGCCGAGGGGCCGCGGAGTCTGCGGCGCAGTGCGCGCTCGGTGACCGTAGCTCCGCCCCCAGCTCGGGCTCGAAGTGATTGACGCGCGGCCGCCGGGAAACCCACGACGCGGAGGTGAGGCTGGATGCAGCTCCCGCCAGAGATTGGGCGATTCACTGGCCAGAACTACTTTCTACACAAACTGAGTGGGATAGTTACCTTACCTCCCCTGCACTCTACTCCCTTCTCTTTTTGGAAAAGTTCATTCCGAGTCAGCCCTATCTTCCAGATGCCGTGAAAATGCCCCGTGTAATTAACCCAGCCATTAGCCGGCGTTACCGCGCCAGGGCCTCTGTGCCCCGGGCGACCACAACAAAGCTGGGCAGGGAATGCAGGGCCAATCTTCCTCGCTTGGAATCCTCTCCCCCTCTCTTTCTCCCAGTCTTTCCCTCCTGTGCTTCCCAGCGCTGAGATCCACTTCGGAGGCGCACACCAGTGGTGCGCGCGAGTGCGCGCGCGCACACACACACATACACACACCTTTAGCGAAATCAGACATCAAATACCCAAACGGCTCCCTCATTTCCTCCCACCCGATTCCGCCGCGGCCCTCAAAGACTCTCCGAGATGGCCCTTGTCCGCGCCGCTTGGAGGGAGTGCTCTCTGAGTTAAGCTGGTCTCTTCTTGTCCTGGAAAAAAAAATGAATGCTGACAAGGGTCCTGGATCTGCACAGGGAATAAAGTACCACTTAAAAAAACAAAAACAAAAACAAAACCCTCAAACCCGGCGGTGGTACCGTCTGCAGAGCCTGCTGCCCCTGAATATTAGCAGAAAGCCTTCGGGGGCGCGGTAATCCGCTGGCAGAGGAGTAGGGGCCCGCGGAATTAAAAGGAACAAAAGCAAACGCGCCATGCCAAACATCTCCGACACGACCCCATCAGGCAGGAGCTCGGAGTGATGGGAAAATAAACTAGAGTAAGTTTCTTTAAAACAATTTAAAAGATCTAAGGCTGTACCGTACTTTCCCTGTGGTTTTCTGCAGTTTTCCTCTCTGCGCTCTCCCTGTCTTCTTCATTCTCTCTCTCGCTCTCTCTCTCTCTCTCTCTCCCTCTTTCCTCGACCGCGCGCTCCCGCGCGCGTACACACACACACACACACACACACACACACACACACACACACACACACTCTCCTTTTCCCACTCCCCTCCTCCCACCCCACACTGT